TTTTTTTTTTTTTTTTTTTTTTTTTTTTTTTTTTTTTTTTTTTTTTTAATTCAAGCACCCAGGCGATGGACGTGTCCTGCAATTTAACTACTTTCAAATTCTTTGTTCGGGTCCCACCGGGGCTCTATTGTCACCCTATTGAGAGAGCTTATTGCCAAGTCAAGCCTGAGTGAATTGAGACACGCACGGGAGGAGCCCCGGGGGCTGGGAGCGGGCTCCGTGGGCTGTTCGGCCCGGGGAGACCCCGGCCCAGCCCCGAGGGAGCGGGCAGGGCGCGGGGCAGGGGCTGCCTGCAGCCTCTGGGCCGGGACAACAGGCACCAATCTCCACAGAAGCCGCAGCCGCCAAAGCAGCCCCGGCCCCGCAGAGCCCGGCCCGTTGGCTGGGACGGAGCAGCCCCGGAGATGGGCATCCCTCCGGGATCGGGCTCCTTTGAACCCTCAAAGCATCCCCCGCAGCCGCGTCTGGGCTCAGGTACCACCGCTGCGGGCAGGAGAGGGACTTACCTCGGATGCCCGCGGTGCCGCCAGCCTCCTTCCTTCGCTGGTTCTCCCTTGATCCCGAAAAGGACGGTCCTCCCCTATTCTCATCCCACTCCCGACCCCTCCACCTCGGAGACGGCTCCCGCCTGTCTCTCGTCGCTCTCTTCGCCACTCACTTTGGGAGCTCCGGTGCTCGCTGCCCGAGCAGGAAAAGAGCGGGATGTTGGGGAGTGCTTTTCTTTTCTCTTTCGCTTCCCCCTCTCCCGACTTACCCCCCCAGCCTTGAAAAGGGGGTGCGAGCCGGAATAGGGGGGTGCGAGCTGCACGGAAGGGTTATTTCAGGAGAAAAAAGAGCAGTGCTGGGCACGGATTCTCACGTAAGCCCGTACGTCACCTATAAAAATTGCCCGTTTCTCTCCCATTTCTTGGCTCCGGGGGGGGCAGCTAAGATATCTCTGCCTGTGGAGGGAGGGGGTGAAACCCCGATAAAATCAGTACTCCGATAAAAACGTCCTGCTCCAGTTGGGAGTGGAAGGCAGAGCCGGGGTTGCTGGAGGGCAGGAGCCGCTTCTTCGCATTCCCCTCTGCCCCGTGGTGATGTTTGACCGCCCCTTGCTCCCCCAAAACACCCACATGGAGCCTTCCTCAGCCTCTCGATGCCGGGGAGACATGAAGGTTTTCGGGGTCCTACGCCGATCGCACGTGAGGGTCGCGGCGGGGCGGGGGGAACATTGCGGCCGTCACATCCCCCTCCCCGCCGCGGTCCTCGTGTTGTGACCGACGGCCTCTCTGCCATGTCCCGGGGGAAGAGGAAGCCCTTGACCCCTGGCCCCGGGGGCAACGGGGTTAAACAAAGTCCCACCGCCTCATTAGCCGACCGACAGCATCGAGTTCCCCGGCGGGGAATGGGGTCTCCAAGAAGTGGGGGAGAAGTCGCATCTCCCACCTCCCGTCCAGACCCCGACGGGGCGCACCGGGATGGGGATGCCTCCCCGACAGACAGACAGAAAAACAAAAAGCCTAGGGAAAGGGAAAAAAAAAAAAAAAAAAAGACTATACACACCACATTTCGACTTATACATTACAGCCATCTCTGCTGAAACGGCGGATTTTTGAGGTTATTTCGGGTTGTTTACGGTGGTGATTTTTTTTATACAGTGGTACTCTGCCTTTCCGAACCTCCCTCCCTGCCCGCACTCGGGTGAAACACAGGCAGCACCGGCCCGGTCCTGCCTGTGGACGAGGCAGCGGAGCTCGTTGTCATCAACCCTTCCCAAGGCATTGCCGCGAGAAGCATTTCGAGAAGAATTAATTTTTTTTTATTTCCGCTTTGGAGAGAGGGGGAATTTTTGTGATGCAGCGGGCTTGGATTTTTTTTTTATTTAATTTTTCTCGACCACGATAAAATAAGTAGATAAAAGACCCTAAATAAGAGAAATCGGCATTAACATAATGCCAACGAAGGGAGAACAAGTGCACCTAGGTCCTTCCCCAGAGCCACCCCGTAGCCGGGGGTTCCCAAACCCTTCCTTGCTTCGTCCCAGGGCAGCTCATGGCTTTTTCCTTCTGACCAGAGCACCCTCAGCCTTGGAGCATCCCTCCCGCCGGCTCTGCACCCCGCGCGCCCCCGAGCTCCTGCCGAAGGACCAGGAAACCTTAAGTTCCCGGTATGGAGGTGGCAGATGACAGGCATCCTCTGTGGGGCCGGCTCCTGCCAGGCTCAGGCAGCGAGTACCTCCCGCTGCCGGGTGAAATAAATAGGGTGAAGCACAACCCTGACATTGAACCTTAGGCTGGGGGCCAGCAGGTACTTTGGGGTGCACCGGTGGGAGGGGGCCGTGAAACGCATTCAAAGCCACAGAAAACAGGATCTCGCTGTGTATGTGTGCGTTTCTCACATCCCACACTGCGCCCATGCTGGCTCTGCCTTTGTGGAGACCGGGGTGCTGCAGTTCCTCACCCTCCATCTCCCCCCAGTTCTGCACCCACAAGGACAGTGTGGTGTGAAGCTGGAGCATTGGGGAGGAGCCGCGCTCCGGGTTTGGAGTTCCGCAGGGGCCAGGAAGGGCGAAGGGGAGGTCGCAGTGCCCGGTGCCCCTGCCCGGTGCCCTGTGGGGAGCGCGGAGTGGGACGGGACCGGAGCGGTGTCCGCGCCCCGACGGCCCCACGGGGACCGGCCCGGCCCGGCCCGGGCGGCACCGGCGGGGCCGCAGCGCCACCTGGCGGCCCGGCACGGCTCGGTATGGTCCAGCACGGCTCGGTATGGCCCGGCCTGGCACAGCGCCAGGCAATGCCAAGGCCTGGCTGCACTCTGCCAGGAGCCACCTTCCCGGTCAGGACAGGTCCTGCGGGGCTCAGGGAGTCTGCACTCACCTGCCCTGACCTCGGCACTTCCTATTTCCCTTCCCTTGCAATCTGCACCCCTTTCCTTGTGCTCTGAAATGCCTGTCCTGCACTCTGCATTCCATTCCACAAGTGCAGCACTTGTGGCCTTTTCTGTGAACCCTACATCCCACTCGTTGCATCTGCATCCCATTCCTCACAGCCTGTATTCCATTACCTGCACTTGTAGCCTTTTCCATGAATCCTGTGTCCCATTCCCTCTGCCCTACATCTCATTCCCTGCCTTTATGGCCTTGTCCCCAAACCCTGCATCCCATTCCCTGCACCTGTGCCCTTTTCCCTGAACTGCGCAACCCATACCCTGCACCCTGCATCCTATTCCTCATACTCTACACCCTATTCTTTGCACCCTACATCCCATTCTCTTCACCCTCTGTCCCATTTCCTGTGCACTACATCCCCTTCCCTGTGCCATACACATCCATTCCCTGCACCCTACCGCCCATTACCACACACCCAGTGCTCATCCTTGCTCTCCAGCCACTGCTCCATTCCCAGTGGCCGAGATGTCCCCATGGACACCACATGCCCTGCTCTCACCTCTGGCCCCACAGATTCTGGTCCCCACGCTGTTCCCAACCCACCCGTGAGGCTCGGGGCTCTCAGGACAACAGGGACCAGGGCGATGGGTGCTGATCTCGTCACGCCGAGCGCGGGGCCGAGGAGGTGGATGGAGCTCGTGTGGCTGCGGGACGCAGATGACAGAGCGCTCCACTCCCATCCTTGCCGAGGGCTGATCCCGGGACCGCCCTGCCCGGCTCGTGGTGCCAGCACGCGACCCCCGCCTTTTTCCGCGCTCCGGTTGAAAACAGGAGCAAAACGCGACCGCCGGGTGCGGTGACCCCGGTACTGGCGGCGCGGCAGCCGCGGGGCCACGACACGAGATGAGGGAGCAAAAAGCAACCCGCACCAGCGGGGCGCTGTCTCACGACCGCGGCAGGACTCGAACCTGCAATCTTCTGATCCGAAGTCAGACGCCTTATCCATTAGGCCACGCGGCCGCCTCCACTCCCGCCATCCCGCGGGCCCTACTCAGCAAATCCCGGGCGGGCCGGGCCGGGAGAGGGAGGGGGCGGGACGGGACGGGACGTCAGCGCGGCCGGAAACTCCCGGGAGCGCTGCTGTTTGGATCTGCCCGCCGAGCCAGGCCCGGGCGGCGCGGGAGGGACCAGGCGGGGGCCGGGGGTGAGTTGGGAGGAAAACATCTGGATGGGGGGCACGGCTGTACGGGGGGTATGGCTGTACAGGGGACACGGCTGTTCAGGGGACACGGGTGGACAGGGGGTGTGGATGTACAGGGGGTTTGCCTGTATAGAGGAGCGCGGCTGCACAGAGGGGTGCATGGCTGCACGGGGCAGTTCTGGGGGGCCTGCAGTGGGGGTCAGTGCCCAGCTCACCCCTCGCCGTTTCTCTCCCCGCAGCTCCAGCCGGGGCACACCCCGGAGCGGGGGGCCATGAGGCGCCTGCCCTGGAGGCGGTCGGTGAGGGGCTGCGGCCCCCGGCCCCAGCGATGCCCCTCCAGCTCCTCGGCCAGCCGCCCGCTGCCACAGGAACCGAGCCAGGATACGGGCCAGCGGCGCATGAACCCCCTCAACATCCAGATGCTCTCCAGGACCCTCCACGAGCAAATCTTCCGCGGTGCCCAGGTGAGCTACTCGGCAGCGGACGTGCAGCGGAGCGTGGAGCACCTGCAGCGCCACGACCTGTGGGGCAAGGAGACCTCCACCCTGCCCGACGTGGACCTGCGGCTGCCCCGCATGTACGGGGACAACATCGACGAGCACTTTCGCCTCCTGGCGCAGAAGCAGAGCTTGCCCTACCTGGAGGCGGCCAACACGCTGCTGAGGTGTGAGCTGCCCCCGCTGCCCGCCCAGTGGGCATGGCAGCTGGGCTGGACCCGCTACGGCCCTGACGGGCGAGCGGAACCTGTGGACTTCCCCGAGGAGCGGGCGATGGTGCTGGACGTGGAGGTGTGCGTGGCTGACGGCCACTGCCCGACGCTGGCTGTGGTGGTCTCGCCGAATGCCTGGTGAGATGTGGTGCCAGCAGTGATAGGGGAGTCACGGCAGCAGTGGGGGGGACACAGCTTCGGGATGATGGGATGCTCCCAGGTGGAGCCTTTTCTTGCAGTCCACTGCTGGCTTGCAGGGAAAACGCAACAAAGCCCCAGAGCGTGGTTCTGGGATGTGGAGTGTGCATCCTGGTTAGCAAGTGTAACACTCCCCAGGGTGGGTCACCTCCCTCCCACAGGTGCGATCCTGCTCAGCACCCCATAGCACAGCAGGTACTTGTTGTCCCAGGAGCTCCTGCTTTTTTTGTTACAGCTGTGTGTCCTCTGCAGGTACTCGTGGTGCAGCAGGCGGCTGCTGGAGCAGCGATATTCCTGGTCCAGCCACCTCACCCTGGCCGACCTCATTCCCATGGAGAGCCCGGCAGGTGCCAGCTGTGCCGGCAAGGAGGACTGGAGGGAGAGAGTGGTGGTGGGGCACAACGTGGCCTTCGACCGGGCGTTCATCAAGGAGCAGTACCTTATCCAGGTGAACTGCCAAACCACTGATTTATGCCCAGCAGCTGCATTTTCTTACCCAGATAACTGTTTGCATTGGCTCTTGCGAGTTATTTTGCAAATCCTGTTCTGCACAGGTACCCCAGGGTTGTGTTCACTTTGTCCTGCAGAGTAGGCTGGGGCTGTATCTCTCTAGAGAGATACTCTTGCACCCCAATAAGGCTGCTGGAGGCTGCAGGTTGGCAACTGGGGATGTGACAGGAGGCTTTGAGCAGCTGACAGGCTGTGCTGGGGATGCTCTTAGCTCTCAAAAGATGGATGTGGGAGACAAAGCCTTGTCTTGACAAATGCAGCTTGAGCACAGGAGTTGCAGCTCTCCAGCATTTCCCAAACCCTCTCTTTTCTTTCCCCTGTTGCGTTCCAGGGCTCTCAGATGCGTTTCCTGGACACTATGAGCATGCACATGGCCATCTCAGGGCTGACAGGCTTCCAGCGCAGCCTCTGGATGGCTGCCAAGCATGGCAAGAGGAAAGGGATGCAGCAAGTCAAGGAGCACATGAAGAAAACACGCAACAAAACGGAGGGGCCAGCGGTGAGTGAGGGAGCTGAGCCACTGGCAGTGGTCTGGGTGAGAGAGGGCTGTGTGCTCCTGTAATGGGACCATTTGCTCCTGTACTGGCAGAATGGGATCTGCTGGAGCAGCTCTGCTGAGTGAAGCTCTCCCAGCACCTTCCAGACAAGGTGGCCTTGATTTAAACTGGAGTAGCAGCATCCTTTACCCCTCCTGATTTCATCCATGGCCGGTCCTTGTCCCATACTGTCTGAGCCCCTGTTGTCCACAGATGACTTCGTGGGACTGGGTGCACGTCAGCAGCATCAACAACCTGGTGGACGTCCACGCCCTTTATGTCGGAGGGGAGCCGCTGGAGAAGGAGGCGCGGGAGATCTTTGTGAAGGGGACCATGGCTGACATCAGGAGTAACTTCCAGGTGCGGGAGGCCATCCTATCATATCCTGACAGGGGAAGCTGGAGGTGGGAGCAGGGTGGTAGCAGCTGCTGGGGTTGTTGCTCTGACATCCCCAGTGCTTCCGCAGCCCCGGTGCTTTGTCCTGTGCTGGTAGGAGAGTGGCTTCTTTGCCTGCTCCAACCTGCCACTGTCCCCAGGACCTGATGTCATACTGTGCCCGTGATGTCCAGGCCACCCATGAGGTGTTTCAGGAGCAGCTGCCACTCTTCATG